ATTGTTTGAATGCTTGATTGGTCTGGATGCTTGCCGGCTTTCCTATTGAGATTTTGGTGGAGCTTTAGGATGATGATGATGATGATAATGATAATGATGCAATTTTAGGGTTGGATTAGGTTCTGCGCGTTCTGGGTTTACTTTCAGGAATCTGACCTTGATATTTCGCCCTTTTAATATTCACCGGAAGACTGTCGGCGCGGGTCAGGTTGGAAAGGTCCCGTCAGTCATCTGGCGTGACCGGTGCGGCGTCTCGGTTGCAGCAATTTAACCGTCCTGGACGGTACATGTGAAGCAGTGGCTACTGGCGTTGATCTTGGGAGATCAAAGGTTTCAAGCAGAGGTTGTCTGGTGACTGTTCTCCCGATTCGGGGATCAGGTGCTCAATCGACCGTAGTTGATTGACATGCCGTTTCTATATCAATGATTCCACCTGGACGCCCTTAAATCACCTGACCTATACTTTTGAGGACGACTCCAACGGTCCATCTTCGGTGATCGGGGCGATAGTCCATCAAAATATATTGGCTCCCCTCCTGTTGGTATTGATGACCGTAAGTTTTCGATCGGCAGTGTTGAAAGATGCAAGCGATCGATCCAATCGATGCCAAGGAGATCATAATTGGCAAGATAGACAATACCACAGTCACGGTGTCCTGCTCTCTCCATCTCACAGTCGAATTCACTAATTGGTTGAAGCGTTTCCTTCAGGCGACCAGGCAGCGATACTGCCTTTCATCCGAGAAATGACGGTCTGGAAAAGGTCGGCCTCAAAACCCGTACAACCTGATCGCCCAACGTTTGACTGTGACCGGCGGCGTATTATTCATTACGTTTGAAATACTTTCAAAACTAGGGTCTGATGCTGCTCATAAGGTAACGCCTGTGCGTAGCTGTATCATCACCATCGTCATTGACAGCCATACCAGTATACAACACTCGATTTTCACCGTCCTGCAACGATTCATTTGAATGAAGCCTTATACTGCGAAGGAGGAAGAAATATGACGGGACGGGGCACTTAGGGCCAGTCCACCACAACATCTGATATGTCTACACCTCAACACTCAGTCAGACAATCAGGATCGAAACTGACAAGATGAACGTCACTGACATTGGTTAGCCAGCATATCATTCAGTGGCTCCAGTCAAGCACAGGTGAGATAACATGAACTTCATCCCGGAAGGCGAATAGCCCAAACGTTTCGTAGTATTCTTCATTCCCTTCTGCAGTGTCAAATTCTGTCCACCCCTAGGTTTAACGAACTCCGAACTAGACACGGAGAACAGCGCTGGTTTCCGCTGGTAATCATTTTGGATATCATGACATAAGTGTTGAACACTGGTGCTTCTCTGCTGTACAACCATAATTTATTTGTAAGCCCTATTGTGGTGGATGGGAAAGGGACAAAGTGATGTATCACCACAATCATTCCGAGGTGCCTACGCCTCCGGACATTCAATTAAGCAATCTGGACAGAAATTGACAACATGAACACCATTGGCATCGATTAGCAGTCATATCCTGGAGTGTCTTCAACCAGGTACAGTGGGGATCAGGCGGTCCCCATCCTGGAAGGTGTGTCGACCGACAGCACCCAAACGTTTCGTAATCACTCTCATAACCCTCTGCCAGGTCAGGCGTTGGCCATCTCTCTGCTTCCGCCACTCTGAGTTAAACATGGGAGACAGCACTCTCTTCGGCAAACGATGGTTCGGTGTACTCAGCTTCTGGTGCTGGACACATTCTTCAATGGAAATCCCCGTTGCACAACCGAAAGCTCGCTTTTTAACTACCCCATTATGGAACCGCCGACACCAACCCTTAAGAGACAACGATTGTTGAACACCTGAAAACGTCTCAGTTCCGCCGCTCGAACAGTTCAAGTCCCACAGCCATACAGCAAAACAGCCCGCGCTGTAGCCTGATGGACACGTCTAGTGAGATTCAGGGGCACACACACTTTGACGCCATAGGTATCTCAAATTAGCCGGGCCTTGGAGATTTGTGCATGGACATCATTTGTCACACTACAATGAGAACTAGTACAACTTCCAAAACGAGTAAAACGTCCCACAACTTCGAGTGCCTCCCCTGGATTGTAGATGGTGTGCTCAGTGTCTGCATGTCCAGGAGCATGATCTTAAAAGACAAAAGAAGGTTCAGTTGTGGTACCATTTCGGTGCCTTGGCACCATGTCACCAGAAGGAAGCATGGGTGCCAAGTGTGTCGTGATTTTTGTGTGCTTATTCTTATACTTACCATATATACTCGTACTGAACTTTTGTATGTACATTTCAGCTCATGTACACTTGTTCTTAGACAAGTAAAACATTGCTTACCCTCGAAAACCTGGACTCTGTTCTTACTCGTTCTCGGACTCTTTCTAAACGTCTGAATTTACTTGTCTAAGAACACAATGGACCCGCAACTACGACCTCGTTTCTTCGACGCTGACGCGAACTCCGCAGATGCAGCAAAAACGCTGGGATCATCTTAGCAATCCAGGACTAAAATCGTGGGTCTGTTGTACGTACGTCGCTTTTATTGCGTCTGTGGTCTGCACATTGGTGTAGGAGGGATTAGCCGTTCTTCGTTCCTTTTGATTTTTATTCGAAGACGACTACCCTATTGAGCCTGAGCGGTCTACCAACTTGCGCACTCATCCCTAGGAACAACAACAAAATGAGTTCTTAGCCTGCCGCTCAATGTGTTGTAAATAGTGTCTTTGAGTCGGCAGTGAAGCATCGATGTTGAACACTGATGTCTGTCAGTCGATGATGATGATGATGATTTGAGTGCTAAAGCTACCTCAGGTTGCCACCTTGACTTGGTGGTGGGGCTTGAATGCTGCAATGTTTCCACGGGTTACACTGGTTGGAACTTCGTTCTATAAAGTGCAACCATGCCAGAAATTTCAAAGAGGAGCAGTCAGACGGAAAGCAGCGGTACCCCGTATTACTGAGTAGTCAGCTTCGGGCAGGGTCCCAAAAAACTCACTGGCTGATGCTGCCTCACGCATCAGACTTTTGTGTCAGAGGGTAAAGGCAGGGTCCCCGAACAAAACCATACACCACCCCCGCTGCCTTTTGGGTCAGGCGCTTGAGTCCAAGGCTCAAGGTGGGGTTCCTCAACCAAATCCCTCGGCCCGGGCAACCAGGAAGTATCACGTTCCCGCACAGTCCTGTTTTCGCCTATGTCCCCCCCGACTCTATCAAACAATCGATTGTTGTTCGGCCATTTGACTTTCAGTTATTTGGCCGAGTGGCCTTAGGCTGCACGCTGCCCATTAACGAATTACAAAATGCCTTGCTAAATCCACATCCTTTGCATGTAGGAGCTTTTAACGCCCGCACTCTGTGTCAAATTGACCAAAAGGCAATGCTCACTTAAACCTTCTACTCCCTTGAAATTGGTGAATACTGTGACTCTGAAATGCGCATAAAAAACAAGTATGGTTATGCATCTCAGAACGCCAAGGACAAACTCGTCTTTCACATTCCTTCACCCCCCCATTTAGAAGCGATGAATCGTGGAATATATGGTATGGGAGCTGCGCTCGGCCCCAGAGCTGAACTTGCTTCGCTCATTTGGATCTTTCCGCTGTCCGGTTTTCCGGCTCAGTCGAGCTCAACGTCTCTCGACATAAAAAGTGGCGTCTGTTTGTTGTGTCGGTTTATGTCCCAACGGACTCCAGTTCTGAGATGAGAAGGATACCTTCTGTCGAGCGTTATCCGGGCTCATTCGTGAAGCGAAAAGCCCCGATATTGTGGTCCTTGCTGGTGATATGAATCCACAATTCGTCTGAGCTCCTTAGAATCACATTTGGGTACTCAGTTCGGAGTTGATGCTCGTCGCACGGGCAATGGAGAGCGACTCCTCCGATCGTGTGCTGATCATCAACTGTTTCTAGCCAGTTCGTTTTCCCTCAGGCCCTCGCAAGTCAGCAAAAAGCATGCCAATCCACCATCTTCGAAAAACTACCATACCTCAACAGTATCGTTATAAGATAGCCCAACTATTCTCCACATTGAACCAATACTGTACTGGTAGTGAGCACACGGATGAAGCATGGCAAAATGCTAGCGGCGTTCACTGCTGTCTGTCCGAATTCTCCGAGCCGACCACAAGACCACGATGTGGTTGACTACTATCCATAGCTGATGCCAGGAAATCCTTACCAGAAGGCAACGAGTACGACGGTGGATGCCGACCCCTCGAACGCCAAACAGTGAAGAGTATAAGGAAAGTCCGAAAGCTCTGGTGGACATCGAAAGCTCGGGAGATGGAGAAGACCTTTGTTACCGAAGACAGCCGTGCCCTATATCAACAAATACGACGGACTGGCCTTAGCAAAGCAATGGTCAGTGAAATCATAAGTGGAAGAGGCGGCTCATTAATTCACTCACAAAATAGTCGACTGGGATGATGGGCCGAACAGCTTGAAAAGCTGTGTTCAGTCTATGACTTGACGACGAAACATGAAAGTCCCTGCCGTTCAACGCACTGGCGTTGATAACTGCCGTTCCTTTCATGGAGATCCGGGGATGGGACAAACAACGGTGAGTGACCCTGATAGCTATGGCTTTACCACGCAGTGAGTGAATTTGCTGCATCAAAGTTCGTGTCTTGAATATCTACTTCCACTCGTTAACTCCAGCGAACTGGATATCATCCCCTTGTTCTATTCCTTGTCATCACTGAGACACTATTTCGTGTTCCTGGTTACACGATTTATGGCCGAACAATAAAAAAAGCCCTTAGAGTTGAAGAGGAAATGTTTCCTAGACACACCTGGTAACCATACTGTAAACGATGGGAACCAGTTCCGTTCTTCTTTCCAACACTGGGCGTATTGCCTCATACTTATCGGTGAGCACACCGTCATCTACTAAACGTATACTGTTTTTTTCCCATCGAATTAAACAAGCCAGACCTCTGTGTCATACTTTGTTTCGACTGTTTCCGTTTTATTGTTTATTGTTTGCGTTGCCAAGACTTCGTCGCCACAACGCCCACTGACAGAAGGAAGCCAGTGGTCGCAGCCAAATGTACACAAACACCCAGCTCCTTCTATTGTCAACCATATTCCGGCTAAACGCCCACTTTCTGCAGTCCCGAGGCCATTGCCGGATAACAACAACATTCAGAAACCCTCGAGCAAGCTACCAGCTTGCTTGAAGAAATTGGTGCGTTCAATAGTGAGGACGTTTTATTCAAGGGAGCATTCGCTGATTGTGGATATGCTTGTGAGTTCCAACTTTGCATTGCAACGGAACTTGTGTTCCGTTGTTCTGTCCCCGATTGTGTCAGTTACTCCTTCCCTATACTCGTTCTGCATGTCTTTAGCTTGAAATAAGTGCAGTCTAGTGAGACTGTTACCCAGGGTAGACCAAATAGCCCTATTACACTTGATGAATTTTTCGGGTTGATCATCATACTGAACAGTTTTTATGGATGGGATGGCTGGACTTCTCTCTGGTGAAAGACTTCCTCGGGATTTTCGATACGTTGTTTTTGGGCAACGTTAGTCACAACCAGCGCCGGTTGGTTATTCGTTGTACCGTTCCATTTTATTGGTGTTATTTTGTCATACGTAGTTGGAAAATCAAACTTTATTCCTATTGTGTTTGGTCATAAATCTAAAGGCAACTGGTCTGCCTCATGGCCGCGCTGGTGATGTAGCCCGAACAATGTACTTCGTTCTTCTTGAAGCTAGTCGTTGTAGTAGGTGTTTGGCTTTGTCTTATCGGCTGATGACAGGTTTACATTGTGCTACGGGTTAACCGTTGTGTGAAGCTACTCGTTGCGTTCAGCAGCACATGGTGTTTTTTAACATCAAATCATCACCACGGACATCCGTTCATTGCACAGCTGTCACACAATCTGACAAGAACACAAGGGCGGAAGTTTTTACCAGTTGCTGAATCCTTGATGGAATCGTTCGAATGGTCGAGGTCGTTTCGGACCACGGGCCCTCGCCTAGTAGTCCACACCTTATCCACTGTTCTATTTGGCTCTCGAAGTTAAGCGTATAAAACGGTACTTATTCGTAGCGCATCAATGGGGTAACTACCGTAAAAGTTAAAGCAGATATCTCTGCTCTACTCCTTAGCAAACTACCTGGCTCTAGCTCAATCGACGTAAGTGTACTTGGCTCCGGTTTTGTCACTCAAGCGAAAGTCCACTCACAGTTTGATGAATTTTAAGCATGTATATTTGAACCTCTAGCACTATCCGATTAATCTTAAATAGGGTTGTCGAAACTGGAAACTATACAGGGGCTTAAATAGGTCGATCTTTCTACCTTTATTTGTTTTGTTCACCGAATTGGTTTCACAACAATATTGGTTGGGGATCTAACATTATCCAGTTCTTCTGCAATCTTTTCGTTTTGTCCTCAGGCCTGTAAACAGGTAGTTGAAAATTTCCGTAAGCCCCTGGGTCACAAAATCCACAGTGGGTTGAAAATCGTTGTACATATAACAAATCAAAACAGCATACCTGTCGGGCCTAAATGTCTAATAGGAAGTGGATGGTGAGCTTAAAAGATCGATTCGAGAAAGTTCCGGCTACCGAATGCGCATACATGTCATTTGAGACTAGATGATGGTGATGTGCTTGAACTCGGTAAAAATCTTTATTGGAAACAAGCCATGAAACTAAGCTCGACGATACAGCCCTTCAGTTTGTGGTTACTTCTGGCCCGTGTTTAGGCGTGAGACAGATATCTACTTAGATATTTAACCAATAACAACTTACCCGATCCGTGGGCTTAGTCTTCCTTACTCCCGGATACCCAGGATGTATATCCTGGAGTCCGATATCACACAAACTGGTAAGAGGTGTGTGACCAGCTCATTAGAAAAATTTATAGCCACGTATACCCGAAAGGTGAGGGAAAAGAAGCACTGGTTGCACTGCTAGATTTGGCTGCTATGCCTGCAATGAGCCTGCCAGACTACGCAGTAAGGAAAAGACAGGGAACTCGGGATACGGCTGTATTTTCAGGACAGAGCTTCTGAGCTTGGCTGCTAGCCTGCAATGAGCCTGCCAGACTACGCAGTAAGGAAAAGACAGGGAACTCGGGATACGGCTGTATTTTCAGGACAGAGCTTCTGAGCAAATGTATAGGATGACTAAACGACCAGTTATGGTCTTTCACTTGTTCGTTCTGTACAGCGAATGGTTGTGTTACGGTCGTGAGCACTTTCGGCCCCACTCCGCTGTTTGTATGTTGCTGTGATGACCTTGGGGATGCGTCATTCTCTGTACATGTGCTTTTTTCATGTCTGGGTGCGTGCTGACAATCTCCAAATAGTTCTTCTGACTATGCTGTGGTGGGCGTGCCAATGATTTATTGCAATGTCACAATCTGGTTGGAAAACGAAGTTGGTGGTTTAGAATTTGACATGTAATCGCAGCGCTATTTCGCCACAGAATTGCTAGTACTCAGACTGCCTGACTGCCTGTTAATTGGGAATCGCACCCATTTCAAGGTCATGGGTGAATTTTACAACTTCTCGGGATTCCCCATAGTGAACAGTCATTTTCAGGTAAACATGATTAAGTGCTTGTTTTTTTACGGAGGTCACGAGTTATGTCTTGGTGACTGTAGATTAAAGTCTTGGTCAGGCCAATAGGCCGACGAACCACTAGGTGGTGCAGTTGAATAGGACAAATGCCGTATTACGTATGAAAGTGGGTAAGACTTGAAATATAAATGTGTTCGTATAATCACAGAACACTGAGAAACAGAATATTAGGATGGTTTTTTCGATTAATTCTGGAGGGCCGTAATTCAGTAACTTCAATAATTCAGCAGTTTCAAGGAGCAGCTAAAAGTGGTCTCTTTTGGAAGTTGATATTTACAGAGCCTGGCTAGTGTATATCATAGCTTTTCATCGTAGAGCTCGATATAGCCTACTGGGACTGGATGATCCTGACTCTCCCATTGCTTGGGTTCAGAAAACTTTGCAGTGTCTCGGCCCTCGTGCTTCCTTTTGGTTGCGTGTCAGCTATTAATGGAACTGGTGCTGCAGTTAAACGATTCGTTTTTTCCCATTACAATAACTCAGGCCCACTCTTGTATACAGTGCACTCATCTGATGCATACCCACTGAGAAATGTAAGAGTTGAACTTCCTAGCACATTGAGTATGTGGATTGATTCAATCCCTTGACGAAATTAGTCAGCGTAAGTAGTCAATGGGGCTGGATGTCTGGTGACCACAATTCCCTTGACCACTTGGCACAGCAATTAGGTTGGAAGTCTTTCAATGATCCGAGTTGATGGATGAGACTTATACATACCCGCAATCATACGACTATAGTATTTACATTACACAGTTTACAAAATTGAACTGCAGTTTACTCGTCTGTCTTCTGTTACTGGTTTCTGTGATAACCCGCTTCTGCTGCCAGTTGTGAATAGAAATTTCATCCTTTTCAACTCACTACACGCGTTGTGTTCATATAGCACAACTCTGGGGATCTACCAAAGTTCCACTTAAACCACTTACTTCGTCTCCTATCTCAGGTGAGGAATACTATAATGAAAGAGGACGATCTGTGCGAACGCCTACGGTTCGAAAAGAAGCAACTGAGACAGTACTTGCATACACTCAAAACCGACCAATTCATCAAATCGAAGCTCCAACTGGAGACGGATGCGGAGGGGAAAACCACCAAGATTACGCACTATTTTATTGATTATAAGGTAATTATAAGTTAACTTTTGGGTTTCGTAGCTGACGTTGAACCCGTCGTTCCTCCATACGTTGCACTTACACAAGCCAAGTTGGACTGAAGCCACTTCATGGCTATGTAGGGAAGCTTTTTATGCGATGAATAATTCTATTTTGCTCGGCTGTCGGTTGCGCGAGTATAAGTGAATATCCCGTATTGTATCTACTGGTGCCTTTGGTTAGACTTTCAGCCATTTAGTCCAGTGTTGATTTCACTGGCTTTTGAGTATCTGGTCTGCAAGATCTCTGAGAACCCTTATCTATCCACTCCAAAGTACATCTTATCAAACTTCCTTGTTTGTTTTGTTAGGATGCAACTTATATACAAACCCGATTGGCTGCAAAGCCAGGTTCGTTCATTCACTGAACAACGTACATCGTTATTCGGATCATTAAACAGGCCCCGTTCCGCCGTTTTGACTTATTTCCCATTAGGAGGCATGGTGCTACTAACCACCCTTCAGCTGGCGCTAGCGCGATACGGATAGAGGCCCTGGGTGGCAAACTTACTAAGGCGTCAAAAATGCCCTTGTAGAGGAGCCCACGCTCGACAGAATCAACCAAGGTCAAATTGATAAGGACGTCTATACGTATGTGTACCACATTAGTTTATTCCGCATTCCGTATACGTTCCTGTACTCTGGTTACATTAGTGAATTCCTTCTCGCCGATATCCAAATACCTATCGCTTTATGGATATGTTAACACCTTGAGTATTGGCTATCTTATCTTTTGAAGTTGTTTGTCAATGTGGTCAAGTACCGACTAGATCAGATGCGGCGACGTCTTGAGGCAGAACAACGTCAGACCACGAGCAGGGCTAGTTTTCGCTGTGTTTCTTGTGCCACCACTTACACCGACTTGGAGGTGGATCGTCTGATAAGTTTGGATAATCCGGGAAAGCTGGAATGCGTATATTGTCGGGCGGAGGTCGCCGAAGAGGAAGACAATGTATCAAGGACAGATGCCCGTGCGCTGATCGCTTCATTTCACCATCAGGTATGTATTATGTTCTTGTCCTCGAATTTTCGTGCATTCTATCCTTTGTGAACCCTTATTTAGAACACGGACTCTGGAACTAGGTTTGTAATATCTTAAAATTTGAGGATCAGATATAAACCGTTTTATGGGCGAAGAATTCCCCGAAATGGACCCAATCAATGGAGCAGTTGGTTCGTTCGTTCATGAGTCCCATATACAAACATCCTCATCATACCGACCGTTTTCTATCGAAGTGTAGCGTCCCGCAAAGACTGGTCTGGTACTACCATTTCTAGACGCTTAGACTGCCATCAACATGTCAGTGATCTCGGTACAGTGTCAGTTGATGTGAACGTAGAGAACTTTTCCACGTTCTTGTCCCCCTGAAGCACCCAATGCATGGTTATTGTGTAGGGCTGTAACTCCAATTCGGTAACTGTTTGTGATAAGTATGCACAAATGAGGTGATTTGTCTTATTGAGTCACTGTTTCTGTAGGCACCGTCAACTGGGGATTACTCACTCGGTTCATGTTGGTCGGAAATCCGACTATTGACTTGGACAATCAGCTCAGGGTAGCTCAGTGGTTAAAGCTGTAGCTTATTGACTGGAAGGTCCGTGGTTCCAGCTCTACTTCTGCATTTCGACTGCGTTTCTCTGGGCTTGAGCAGCCTGACATTTGGGTTGCTCCAACATTCGCAAGACGCTTTAGTTTGGCCTGTTTGCAATGAGGATTTCTTGAAGGGATAAGGACTTGAGGGATAAATAAAGTTTTCTAGTTATATACGTAATGCACTACTCATGAGGTTGCTTAAAAACATCATAAATGAGAGATTCAGTTGGGTTCCATGTGAGTCTCCCGTCAAAACCAGAGTGGTGTGCAAATGAGTGTATTTCTTCATCTAGTTCTGTCCGAGTTTACTCGCATGACCATGCAGATACGTACTATTCCACTGAAGTCACATCTAGCCATTCAGGTATCCTCACGGTTACTTTACGGTACATACGTCTGTCGCTTAGAATCTAGGATTGTAGCTATCCGGTGGCTCAGTGGTCAGAGCGCGAAATAAATGACAGGTAGGTCCGACCTCTGCCTCTTGACTTCCGGGCAAACTGGCAGTATCTCGACCCTCGTGCTTCCTTCTGGTTACATGGCAGCTAGGCACCGAAAGAATGTTACAGCTGAACGATCATTGCTTTCATTGTTATCTGAAGACTTAAAGTCGAAATTAGGGAGAAAGGAATAAATATGGTCGAGGTGGGTCAGTTAGAGCTACCCCACAGTTTAAGATTTGCTGAACGCAATTCCTAAACACGGTTCGAGAGGTAAGGTCCCGTCGTGGCCTGAAGAAATGGTGATGTAAGCGAAGAAATAGGCATAACATAAGTCATAGGCAACCAATTGCTCTCATCCATCTTTCCACATTCCTAGTTGGCCTCAAACTTGGGATGTGTCACCGATAGGGCTGTGGTATTTGCAACACTATGAACCAGCAGCTTTTGTCAAAGCACCTGTCGAAGAAAATGTTCTCCGTAAAGAGGTTGCATTCATTTGTAAGCTCAGTGGGAGGAGGAAAGCTTATTCGTATGGTTAGTCCATATATGAGGAATTTTGTTTACTCACTTATGAGAAAAGGTCCAGCTGTAGCACACTTTCGGTGCCTGGCTGCTATGCCACCCAGTGGAAGCACGAGGACCCAGATACTACTGGGTTGCCCAGGCCTATACTGGAGCAGTCGAGATGCGAAAGTTGGGTTCCAGGACCTTCCGGTTAGGAATTTCGCGCCTTAACCATCGTACCATCTGGACTTCTAGTTATGGAGAGCTAACTGAAACATTCTAGATATACGAATACGAGACGGAGCTGTATAAATTCTTAGGTCGTTAGGAAACTGTTCCGAAATACGAAGACCACATCCGGAAGGCTTTTTTCCCGCTGGAATGGTTTTTACAGGGGAGCAACTGCATATTACGTCTAAGATGAGGAGAATACGCGGTACAATGGCACTGGGGATAGTTTCGGTTATTCACTTGACCTTGAATGTATGTATCTACCTATCGGTCATTCCGGGAATTGCAGATACCCCGTGGACCGGTTGGTCCGATTTGAGAAGACTCTGTTACCTGTTTGTACTAAACACAGGGAGCGTTCATAGTATTTCGTACTACAGGCCTTTGCTCAGCTGAAAGCCAGGACCGAAACGAGGCCGTAGAAACTTCTTTTTCCGGTCGTTATGTGGCCACATACCAGTTCGGGTGATAGTGGCCGTTAGATAAACATTATTAGCATATCACGGAAAATATCGCGTTGTACAAAGCTGTACAAGTTTCTCTTCAGGTTGATATGACAGCACAAAGCGTTTGCGCTCCAGAACTAGCCTGGTGGTAATGGACCTTTTATTGAACGTTTCCTTTAACTAGGTTTTGAACTAGGTGTTGTACCTAATGATTGATCCGTCGTGCTTCACCAAGACGCACTGCCTCCACCTGGCAATGAATGAGCAGTTCCACGGAGTAGCCATAACGGGAGTCACCCGAATGTTATAGCACAGCTTTGGCCAATGAATTCGGGATTTTTTTCGATGAGTACAGCGCAATCTCTTCGGCTTAATCTAACGAGTAGGAAAAACCGTCAGTCACTCAAAAATGGGTTGTTTCACGTCTTTCTAAGTATTACCGCATGAAAGTAGTATTTCGAAGTCGACTGGATAATTTTGCCTGCACTTTCCGAGTGGAAAATTGACTCGCGGTAGTCGTTCTCAGGGTGTTTTCTCAACAGAATATTAAGATATTATGGATGTTAGAAACTGTTTCTGGACGTTTTTCTAACAACAGAGTTTGTTGAAGGAAATGAATGAAACCACCCTGTCTCCTCTGTTTCATCTCTATTTCACCAGTTCCTACGACGATGCCCCAAATACTAGCCACACCGTTGTCAAAACCGCTTAATCACGATTTTCTGGTTTTCGGCTTAACTATTTTCATTATAGGTCCGTGATCCCATTGACGCCATGTTGCGCGAGTGTGATGAAATTCACTTGTCTTCCTCCATACTAGAACCAGAAATTCGACCGCTGGAACCGCTGAAAGACGTAAGTTTTTCCCATGTGTCGAGTGCTTCCGGCTGTCTTCTTTGCTTCTTAGCTATGCGAGAGTATAATAACTTGATACTTATTAGGTATTGTTTTTTAACCTCATTGATAATGTCTTGATGCGCATGGCAATTCACTACCGAGTAATTCAGGAGGCTTTGAAACTTATAACCTGTTGGCCTTCAGCTTTGGCCATCTAACGGAGCTCCTCTTTTTGGACAAAGCTTTCAGCACCGGCATAACTCGATGCACTGGTTGTTAAAAATATTTATTGAACTAGGCGGAATTAAGCAAGATGGCAAGACGGTAGCCACTTAAGGGTCATTATACGAGATAACGTGCACTGCAACGTTGAGCCAACTCTGAAGAGCTTTATGCACTAGATAAGCGAGTGGTCTTTTGAGTTACCGAAGCGGCCGAAACGGTGAAAACTGGTAACTGCTTTCTACTAGTGTTACTAACAGGTTGCTGTTTCACTCATTTCCTCAAGCGAGAAAATGGGGTTTGGAGCTTGATAGCTAACTGCACCCAGTTTAAGCAAGGAGGATGACCTGTGTGCATATGTGTATGAGCTTGAGTATGTCTTCTCAGCAGCTGTGATAAACCTCTGCTTCAACGTCGAAGTTGTATTTTCGTCGATGAGCGATTTGAACCCACACGCTGTCTCCATCCGACACCGTGTGGAGTATTCGGAAAGAGCTTGAAAATGTCTTCCGTTAACATGACAGTTTTCAAATCTGTTGGTCTTTTCGTGCTTTCGAATGTGTCGCATAGACGGGCGAACATATCCACCTGGGACAAAGTTTAACGCGGCTACTTCCACCGAGTTCAGCCGCCTCAACCAATATAGGTGTGGCGAATGAGTTAAGTACGCCAAATTTTGATACGAGCCTGAAACTAACTAGATGTGGGAGCATCCAAATCCGGAAGTTAAGTGCTACCCAGTTATCAGCAGTTCCTTATACCAGACAGGTTTTTACCGTGGGTTGGCTGAGTTTATCGGAGATTGGGGGATCTCGTTTTATTGTGTATGTCCCGCAGTTAATTCCATCCATATTATATCGACCAAATTACGATTTCTGTCACTGGAGTGGTGAGTGATAGTGCTTTTTCTGTCAGTTCGGTGGCCTCATTAGGAGAGTGTAAGCTGGACTGACTGACTGACTGCTGTTTGTAGAGAGGAAGCAATTGCTTTGATTGTACGAATAAGCTCTAGATTCCCAAGTTCGTGTCCACCTGATAGGGCAATTCTGGGTTGACCAGAAAATCCCTGGTGCGAAATGCTGTGGTTGTGCACGTGTCCCAATGCAGTAGAGCTTAAGTTAAGGAATTCCTTTCTAGCTTGAAATATGGACAATAATAAAAGCCTCATTGCAACAAACTCTCGTAGCCTTTATCCAACCTTCATTGTGTTGTGGACCAAATAATCGGCTGGTGATCTTCAGTTCCGAACAAAAACTTCATTTGATCAGGGCATGTATATTCTTTAGTAAGCATCGCTTCACGTTCATAACCAAGTTTGACCTCTATGGTACACAAAATCATATAAACACAACGGAATATACTACGTGACACTGCGGATGCAATATGTGATTCAACAAAGTCTATACATCCTACTGATGATACCGCCACATGGCATCCCGATATAAGGCACCTAATGTTACCATGGTGAAGTTGGATACTGAATCTCACCTTGTATGCAGCAGGGCTGCGACTTGTTGTGACATTTTGAAAAGCCGTTTTAAGATGCCATCTTCAACGTCTTCGTTATGCATATGCTGTTGGCAAGAGACTCTCATCGCTTGGGATGCTCTCGCTGTAGCCCGCCAAATTTTGTGATTAACGTAGTGTCACCTACTGTCCACTAGGCGACCGCGCGAGGTGTTCGACTGAAAGTCGGCTTGCACACTTGGAGAAGAGGGCTGATTGACTCCTCTAAGGAAACCTTAGAAAATTTCTGTACGGACCCAGGTTTGTTATGTATTCAAGGTTACAATGGTAGCTGGTAAACGTGGTTTCAGGGAAACGACAATATTTCCAAGTCGTTTTGGTGATCCAAGACCCCTGGTTGGGTTACGGCGCAGACTCTGCATTCCTAGTTTCTATTCACCGTTTATTCCGTTTATTGCCGTTTATTCGTTGTCTCCCGAGATAATATACAATGTTTCCATAAAGGGGCATCCATAGAGAAGCTTCGGACTGTTCTCCTTTTCATATAACCGAGATTGATCACGCTGACACCTTTATGTGACATATTACGCTGTTGCCTTCAGAAATGAGAACATTTCATGAGATTAATATGAAGCTTCTCAATTTAGATTACTGTTTATTTGTTCGCTTTATCAGAAGAGTGTGTGAGCTGTGCTGGATGTACTTACGGCAGCCTCATTTTTTCTGGGGCTTTGTTAAAATCCTTTCTCAGTGGATGGAAATGCGGATACGCGAGCACCACTCACCAAAATCCTTTCATAGCACAAGACCCAAATCATCCTCTCTCAAACTATTCGATTTAAACACTTTCTAGACAAATAATTTTTCAACTTGGTGTACTACACAATGACCAGCCTTTGTTTGACTTGAGACGATATTCAAGATGTCGATGTATTCTCGCTGGCATAACATAAATTTGATGAAAATTCTGGACACGGCATTTTGAATGTCGTTCTGACGAAAACACGAGGCGGTATTTGTGCAGCACATTTG